GTTTGATGAAACTTCCTGCACAGAAATAGCCTCCAAAATCTGTACCCTTCTTCTTCGTCTCTTCCTTCTGTAACACACCTGTTACAGATCCGTCTCTCTGCTGCGATCACCAACAGCTCAAATCACCAGAAATCGTCTCTCTAGTAAGATCTGTTACACCGATCTCTTTCCCCAGTAAACCCTAGCTGTCCCGAGCAATCCCATGGATGCTCTGATACCACTTGTTGAGTTATTCTACTCGCGGAAGCTAGCTCAATTGTCTTCTGAGTGATTCGATTATTTGTGTTAATTTGCTGAAAGTAAGAACACAAGCAATTAACGAGTTCCCAGCAACGCGCTGGTACTTCTCGTGGGATACTCTTGATCCCAAACTCCACTAGAAAGAACAAGAGCAATACACACGCCTTATCCTTGGCGGTTTTAGTCTAGGGTTTCTTACAAGAGATTACTTAGAGAGATAAAGAGGAAAAACTTAGGCTAAAGAAGTAAACCCTAAGCGTAAGAAGAAACTTATGATTGTGATACTTGTGGTGATGATCTCAAAGAAGTCTTCCTCCTTATATAGATCCTTCGTTTCTTTTTCTTCTTGTTTCCTTTTCCTCTTTATCCTTGGAGATGCAACAACCTTCTCTTGAGCCATTACCAGATCGCTGGCCCAAGCCTGTCTCTCTAACTCTTGCTGTCGAATGGACATTGGCATCCTGAAACCCAAATCTGTTTCTAACAGGATCCACATCTAAAAATAGCAAAAACAAGTCTATATAGAGATTTTAATTTTTTCAAATTTATGGAGAGATAAAATCACTAATCTTGATAATAATCATGGTTATGGGAGCTGTTTTGATTATAATGTTTTGTGAATTAAATCTCGATGGAAGTACACGTGTCCGAAGTAGCTGTAGTGACCCGCAAAAAAGGGAAAAAAAAAAAGAGAAAATCTTTAAAGTGGCCACCAAAACAAATAGCATAAATAGCGGGGGAGAAGCAAAGTGAGCTTCATCACATTAAACCAGAAAAAAACACACATACATTTATGATGATGATGATAAGGCACAAAGCCAACATGGCAATGGTATTGGTTCAGGTTGTTTACGCAGGAATGGCATTGCTCTCAAAAGTGGCCATCTCTCAAGGAACCAATCCTTTTGTCTTTGTTTTCTACAGACAAGCCTTTGCAACTATTGCCTTGTCCCCTTTCGCATTCTTTCTTGAAAGGTATCTTCTCTTTGATTACAACAATAATATAAAAGGGCCCATATTCTTGACGCCATTTTATTTTGCAGCGCCAAATCCTCCCCTCTATCTTTTGTCTTGCTCCTCAAAATATTCATGATCTCCTTATTCGGGTATGTATGTCTAGTGTTTCCATAAATTGGAAGATTCTGATTCATGGATTGAACACTAACAAAAGCAAATATATTGTGATATAATTCAGACTCACGCTGAGTCTAAATCTCTATTATGTGGCAATCGACAACACGACGGCCACCTTTGCGGCAGCCACTACCAACGCCATCCCCTCTATCACCTTCGTCTTGGCTCTCCTTTTCAGGTACATTTTATACAAAACCTCTCTTCATATATGCCCAACTATCTTTCTTTTTTTAAGTTTAAAAAAACAAAAATACTATCCTTTTTTTTTGGTTAGGTGGAGTACTTGATTTGATTTGTATAGTTTATGATAAAAAGCTACACTATCGTCGTCAAATAGAAAAAAATTACTTTATCTATTTTAGTGTTTCTTTTAATATGCTTAAAGCAAAGATTCAAAACAAAAATATATTATTTTAATTCCATTACGAACTGTATTATAAAATTTATTTCATGCATTCTACTTTTGTTATAACTTATAAATATCAATTGAATATTGTTATATGTATGTTAAGTATGCTTGAAAATTAACATACCGTATTCGTCTATTGATGATTAGTAAGTTGGGTTTAAAACTCAAAAGATTTATTTTAAAGCAAGAACGACGATAAGAAAATTTGAAAATGTAAAACGAGGTAGGTAAACTGCGAGAGAAGATATATTGAACCAACTTATATCTAGAAATCAGTGGACAATTTTTAAAAAATATCTGAATCATACAACTTGACTTGAATTGACCCAACTAAATTCAAATATTATAAAAAAAAATAAAGAGTAGAGACGGTGACATTGAAGAAGTCACACGGAGTGGCCAAAGTATTTGGATCGGTGGTTGGAATATTGGGCGCATTAGTGTTCGCTTTTGTGAAAGGGCCAAGTTTGATCAACCATCATACAAGCAAAACCATCCCAATCGGCGGCGTTCCATCAACAAAAGATTCCGTGAAAGGATCCATCACTATGCTCGCAGCCAATACCTGCTGGTGTTTGTGGATTGTCTTGCAGGTACGCAGCTCACTAGTTGCTTCCTAATCCTCTCAATTCTCTATTTGCTAATCATTGTTCCTTTTAGTCACCATATATATATATATATTGGTTAACTAATTATTTAGTTACGAAATACAAAACAAAAATATAATGGTGTGGTTTGCACTATCTTTGTTAGAAATTTTCATATTATTGAAGCGGTTTTGGTAGACACATAATTTCTTTTTATAGTCAACGACCCCTAAAATTTTAGATTTCATTTATACAGTGTATATAAACATTATTCACAAAATCAAATTTTAAAAACTTTAATAAATATCAAAATGAAAAAAATCATTTCATAGCATAGAGTTTAGGGTTTAGGGAGTGTCCAACGTTAACAAAATTGGTCCTCCACACGGTATAGAAGAAAAAGACTAGGTTTTTTCATTTCATAATCATTGGTTACGGTTGTGTTTTGGTCATGCCAATGGTATTGTTTGGTTCGGTTCAGATATCATTGAGTTAAAGCACAAATTATTTATAAAATCATCCCTTTCCACTAACAGCTAAACAACTTATGTCCGTCGTACAATGTCAGTGAAACCAACATAA